GTCGAACTGCCGCAGTTGGCAGATGCCAGATCTCGCGCGCCAGCGTCTCGCGGGCGCCAGAGCAGCGTGGGCAGAGCTCGCTGCCCAGCGCATTGCCCTCCTGGGCGCGGCGAGCCCGCGCCCGCTGGCCTCCTGCAGCCGCTGAGGAGGCGGGCCACCTCGGAGAGGTGGCACTCGCGCCCCAGCTTCCGAAGCTCGCGCGGGGCGCGCGCGACGTCCGCGCCGCCGCGGAAGTCCTCGTGCCCTCGTCGTGCCGCGCGATCTGGCGCCGCAGCTGGCCCCTCAAGACCTCCTCGACGTCGTCGAGAACGCCCTGGAAGCCGGCGTCGGCGTGGAAGTCCTCGCCCCGCGCACCTGCGAGCCCCCGCCCGTCCTCGCCCTCCATGGGCGAGCCCAGGCCGCCGCCGAGCGGGGCGGCCAGTCCGGGTCCGGCAGGGTCGCCTGCGGCGCCCCCATCGGCCTCGCACTCTCCTCCAGCGCCGGGCGCCTGCGCGCCGAAGGGCTGAGTGCCGGCGCCCCGGGCCAGACCCTCGCGACGCGGCCGCGCGGGCCGGGCTGGCAGAACCGCCACCCGCACCAGGGCGCGACCACCTGAAGGCGCAGCGCGACGCGCGGACCGTTGACCCCCATCGTGACCGAGAGTACCGAGGCGAGACGGCGTCCTCATGCCTCGCCCCCCACAGCTCGGCCCGCCTGACGATGGAGGCTGCGCATCAGGCCTGGCGGGGTGCCGCAGGTCTGTTTCCCGTGCGCGGCCTGGGGCAAAAGCGCCCGCAGCCCACTGGCCGTGCCCCATCCGGCGGCGTCGCCGTCGCGCGGCGAAGCCATCCGTCTCCGCCGTCGCGCGCCCGCTGCCATGCGCGCCGTGGCCTTGGCGCGCTCTCCCCTGCGACTCGCGGCCGCGTCGGCTCCGAGGTCCACGGCGTCGCGCACCTCGGGCCAGCTTCTCGGGCGCGTCGCGGGGCAGCTGCCTGGAGGTAGCCACCGACGCCGTCTTGACGGAACAGTCGTCCGTGACGACGTTCGCCGCGAGGCGCCCCCGCGCCGACGGCAGCGCCAGGTGCTCGAACCGCGCCACGGCATCGTCGATAAAATCCCAGGGGCCCCTGCGCAGAACTCGGAGGCCCAGGGCGGGGCGCCGCGCGCGATGGCCCCGCTCCAAGAACGCGGGCGCTCACGTCATCGGGCGGGCCGACCTGCTGCCCCGCTCGCACTGGGCCCCCCCCGCGGAAGGAAACCCAAGGCCAGATTTCCAAGTCTGGCTGCGCAGCGCCGGCACCGCCGGGCAAGGGCAGCACCTCCTCCGCAGTGCTCGGCGGCCGAGGACAGTCCTCCTGGCCGCCGTGGAGGCCGAGCTTGCTGGCCCCGCTCCAGGGGCGCGGGCGCGCTCTTCATCGGGCGGGCTGGCCTGCTGCTCCACTCGCACTGGCACCCCCCCTGCTCCGACGGAGCCCCGCGGCCCGAGCTTCTGGGCTGGCTGCGCGGCGCCAGCGCCGCGGTGCAAAGGGGGGCATCGCTCCAGCGCCGCTCGACGGCCCAGGAACGTCCTCCTAGCCGCCGCGGGGTGCTGCACTCGAAGGCCCCGCTCCCACGACTCGGGCGCCCCTTTCACCGGGCGGGCCGACCTGCTGCAGCTGCGACGCGATGGCCCGGCGCAAGAGCCTCGCCATGAGCCAACCTGGGGCAAATCGAACATGCCCGAGTCGACGCGGCCAGGCTTAGGTCGAGCCTGTTCCCCTACAGGGGAATTGTGGACGAAAACTACAACATGCCCCCAAACATATGCAAAAACAGTCCAGAGTAATTACCCCAAATTTTCTATTATCAGCATTATTATTATTATTCGTATTATTATTATTATTATTATTATTATTATTCTTATTATTATTATTATTATTATTAACATTATTAGTATTACTATTGTTATCATTATTACTATTGTTATTAGTATTGTTATTATTCGTAGTATTAGCATTATCTTTACAGGTTCCTCCTGTAGCGGGACAAGTCCGACTTGCGGCCAGGCCCGCGCGGGGGCCGCAACTCCCTCTGGGCAGGCGCCGCCGCCCCCGAGGGAAGGGCGACGCGCGCCTCGCGGCCCCTCGGCCTCCGCAGAGGGAGGCGACCGGCGCCCCGCTGCGGGGGGGGCCCTGGAATGCGGGGTCTGCGTCGGCGGCCGCCGCCGCGTCCTCGGCCGACTCGCCGCCGAGGACAGCCTGGAGTACACGTCGCTCGCCTCTAATCGACTCCTCATCTCGGGTCGGGCGAAAGGGGGGGATAGCAAAGGGGGGGTTTGAGAATCAGCTCACGTAGCTGATTTTCCCGGCGCCTCCCGGCGCCGGGAGGCGCCCATGTATCGAGGAATGGGCCCCTCGGTCGGGCCGAAACCAGCTGCATGCAGCAGATTTCGTAACCCCCCCTTTCCCAAACCCCCCCTTTCGCCCGGCCCGATCATCAGGATTCGCGCCAACACGCCCCGTCGCTATCAGCAACCCTGCGACGCTCAGGCGCCGCTCGTTCCGTTCGGGATGGCGCGGAGCTGGCGGGTAGCGCAAATCCTCATCTGGTTTCGACACTCGAAGGCGCGGATCTCCCGATTCGGCGGGCGGCCTGCTCATTTCTAATTGCGCTCGTTTCTACTTGTTCCTGGCCTGGCCAGGAAGAGCCCCAGGACAGAACAATCAGAAATGGAAGGTTTTTGGCCCCTCCAAATCAGAGAACCTTCGAAGAATTAGACATGGACAGTGTGTACGAGGATCCCGACGAAGGCATCGCCAGGGCCGTCGTCTGTCGAAACCGCTGCGCAGAGGCCGCCGCTGCCTCCCCCTCGGCGGTCGCGCCCGTGCCCGGCGCGGCCCGCACCTCCGCGCCCGCCGTCGACCTGCAGGCCCCGCGGCATCGGCCTGCAGATGCTCCTCCTGCCTGGCGGGCCGCCCTGCGAGCGCATCCGCCTTCCTCTCGGGGGCCCCGGACCCGGGGTCGGGCAGCTCTGCGGGCCTCTGCGGGGTCGGGATCGCCTGCGGGATGGCGAATCTGGCGGCGCTGCCAGCGCTGCACCCCTCGCTTGGACCGGAGCTCCAGGCCGCAGTGGGTCTGCCGCGACGCGTCCAGCACCGCGCCGAGGCTCGTCATGTCCACCGCGCCGACCGAGATCACTGCGTAATCGATGAGGCCGCTGCATTTGAAGTGGGCGGCCTCCGTGTCCGAGGGCAGAAGCAGCTGGCCTCCAACCTTCTCAGGGCAGCCCGTGTTCTGGGACCCAGACGGCGTGGCGCTCCAGTCCGCCGGCGCGACTCAAAGGCCCGCTCAACTGGCCAGGAAAACCGCCAGCGAGAGGAACCCGCGTGAGTCAGTGCCCCCCAATCCTGAAGCCTGGGAAGAAGTACGCCGCCACCACAACCATGTTGCCCTGCTCGAGGTGCAGGGTGAGCGGCGCGAAGCCTTGCAGCAGCGCGTCGCGGGCCCCTCGCTGGGCGGCCGCTCCCGGAGGGCTGAAGGTGGACGTGGCCACGTCGCTCCTCGCGGCAGTGCGCTCGCCGCCTCTGGCGCCTGTCTCGGCGCTGGTCGAGTTCCACGCTGCTGCTCCTGTGGCGAGCCACGTGCTGCGAGCCGAGCTGGTGGTCGCTCCCAAGTGCCTCGCCTCGCTCGGGTGCGTCTCAGAGCAGACCATCGCACTGCGTTCGCAGAACTGCTCACCGAACAATCGTTCCGCCCGAGGCCCCCAACGCTCCGCACTGGCGAAGAAGACCGCTGCACCCCTGGCATCCGGCTGGGGGGGGGGGGACCTCGGCGCGCCGCGCCGCCAGCTGCCGCCTCGGGGACGTCGGGGCCCCCGGCGAGCGCCGCTCTAGGACCAGCGGTGCGGACGAGGTTCGGCCGCACGTTCTCGCGGATCGGCCCTCGGCCACCGACGTCCCCGGCTGCGCCCAGCGGCTGCGCTCTCCACAGACTGTGTAGTTTCCCCACTGCGCGCCATCGCGAATACAACACAACACGCTGCGGCCTGACAGGTGAGCGATGCCTGGCGCACTGGCGCCGCATTCCACACCAAGGGCGAACCGGGCGGAGAAAACAAAGGGAGGAGGAGAAAGAGGTGGAGGAGCAAGAAGACAGGGAGGAGAAAGAGGGGGAGGATGGAGAAAAGGAGGAGGAGGAGGAGGAGGAGGGGGAGGAGGAGGAGGAGGAACGCCAAACTTCCACTGGTATGTGTATTGCGTATTGCCCTGTTCGGGAGACTGGGGTGGGGGTGCTTTTTGGTGTTGGCCCACCCGCCCTCGAGCGAGCATCGCAGTACTCAAGCCGCTCGGCCTACCTGGTCCTGCTACTCACTCGCTGGCGTCCGCCGCCGTGTTGCCCTGGCAATGCTTCGACGCGTTCCCTTCCTCTGGCCTGACGTCACGTCCTGGCGTTCGTTCTCTGGCGTCCACAGCGAGTGGTGGTGCACAGTTCCAGCGTGGACGCAGTTCTGGTTGGGGGCAGTCTCGGCACTCATCGTCGGCACCTCTTGAGTTGCCGCTCGGGCTGCTGAGGCCCTGGTTGCCTTCATCGGGTCTGTCGTTCACAGCCCACGTGGAAACGGGCTACCATCTTGCATGTCTGCTGCGCCCTGGACGCGAATCGTGGGCCAAGGGCCGGCGTCAATTGGGTGCAGGCGTGATCCGCGATCTGTATTTGTGTCGCAAATCCCTGCCCCCCTCCTTCCTCCTGCTCGTCGTCGAATCCTAATTGTCCCCATGTCATCCTCATCACTCACGCTACTCGTTCCTCCCTAACCCTTCGACTCCTCCTAATCGTCCTCTTCCTCCTCCTCCTCCTCCGGATTGATTATTATCATTATCCTCATCCTCTTTTCGTATTTTCCTCATGCTCGTCTTCCTCCTCCTCCTCCTTCTCATACTGTCCCGCCCTCCCTCCCACTCCCCAGGTACTCCTCCCTTTCTCCTGCCTCGCCCTTCCTCCTCCTCCTCCTCCTCCTCCTCCTCCTCCTCCTCCTCCTCTTCCTCCTCTTCCTCCTCTTCCTCCTCTTCGTCCTCGTCCTCGTCCTTCTTCTCCTCCTCCTCCTCCTCCTCCTCCTCCTCCTCCTCCTCCTCCTCCTCCTCTCGTCCTCTTCCTCCACTTTCTGTCTCGTCATCCTATCTCTTTCTGCTCTTTTTGCAACTTCCGTTACTCCTTGCCCCCCCTCCCCTTCTCTGCCTCCCTCCTCCTCCTGCTATCTCCTTCCCCCCCGCCCTACTCCTCCTCCTCCTCCTCCTCCTCCTCCTTCTCCTCCTCGTTCTCGCCGTCGTCGTCGTCGTCGTCGCCGTCGTCGCCGTCGTCGTCGTCGATCTGCGCCGAATCCCTGCGGTCGCGTGGCCTGGCGCATCCTCTCCCACCTCGGGAGCGGCCAAGAGGGGGGTGTCCAAGAGGGGGGGGGGGGTGCAAATCATGACCGGCGGCATGTGCGCGGCCCGGCGGGGGGGCCTTGGACGCAATGAAACGAGAAGAGGCGCCATGAAATCTGAGGAAAAATCATGGCCCGCGCCGTGAAATCCACCCCCCCCTAGTCATCACCCCCCTCTTTTCCGTCCCCGAACCTCGTCGGGCGTCGTCTCCCCCGGGCTCGGCACGCTGCTCACGGAGGAGGCCTCCGCCACGGCGGCCACCTGAGGCTGTTGGGCCAGGCGGCGAGGCCCACCGCCCTTGCCCCTTCCCTCGCGCCACCCTCTCCAAAGGACGATCGGGGCATGGGGAGGAGGAGAAGACGAAGAGGAGGGGGAGGAGGAGGAGGAGGAGGAGGAGGAGGAGGAGGAGAAGGAGGAGGAGGAGGAGGAGGAGGAGGAGGAGGAGGAGGAGGAGGAGGAGGCGGAGGAGGAGGCGGAGGAGGCGGAGGAGGAGGAGGAGGAGGAGGAGGAGGAGGAGGAGGAGGAGGAGGAGGAGGAGGAGGACGAGGACAACCATGACAGGCCCCGTCCCAAGGGCCTCCTCCGCATAGGTTCCGACAAGAAATCCCCTTCACTACACAGGGCGTCCGTGTGGAAAGACGAAAGCCACATGGCCCTGCCAATCAGGCACCAACCCCGCTTTGAAATGGGATCGGCCTGCCTCATTCCAACCATGTGTAGAGCACACACAGGCAATCCAGAAACGTTCATCCGTTTAGCTCATGCACATCTGTAAACGGTGATCAAGAAGTGCAGAGGTCATGAGCAAGACCCCATTGTTGAACATCCCGCCCCCCACTTGCGCACCCTGCTGCAACATGTCACGAGCAGGATTATCAACGTTCAGGGACCCTATAAATATGACCCCATATTGGAAACAAAGGACAGCCTTCTAGCAGTGAGCCTGGGAGCGACCTTTTGAACACCGCCCGCCCTGCATCTGTAATACGTTTGGGAACTTCAAGCTTGAGAGCCACAGGATCGAGCGTGTCTTCCTCCTTAACCCTCACCCCATGAGGGGGGGCGAGTAAGGATGCGGCATGGGCATGGATGAGGAGCAAGTGTACGAGGAACTCGAGGAGGAGAAGAAGAAGGAGGAGGAGACCTCTTTCTTCTTCTTCTTCTCCTCCTTGTCGACGTGTCTTCGTGTCTGTGGAATTGGACTAATGACGGCTCGAAGTCTGCCATGACTCACAGGCGCTGGAACTCATCGTGCGCACCCAATCCGCCCACGAGCTTTCGCGCAGACGTCGAGCATGATTGGAACGAGCCAGCCCAGAAGCTGGAGACCGTGCAACCGCCCAGAAAAAGGAGGGGGTCCCGAGGAGGGGTGGACGGAGGGAGGGGGGGAGGGAGGGATGAGGGAGGGAGGGAGGGATTCTAATTCTAATTCTATCTAAAGCGTCATCCTCCTCTAGGGAGGTCGCTTAAACACAACCTCACACATCAGGGAAACGGGTGCCCGACTTCGGGGGAAGCCCGCGGGAGATCCTCGACAAAACCTCCTTCCCAGTGGACGAGGGCCGATCACAAGCCCTGCTCAGAATGCGAGGGGGGTTCACTGTGCAAAAACCACCACATACCTCGCAATGCAAAACTCCACGATACACGGCCAACCGATGCGTGGGCGAACAAAACTCCGACATTGGGTGGTCCAAGGGTGTTCCACACCCCTGAACAGCAGCAAGGTCATCAGGCGGCGGATCTTCCACCCTAGATGCCTGGGCGACGCGAGGAGGACGACGCTGAATCCGCTGCTGCAGTTCACAGCGAGGCTTGCAGGGATCAGGCCAACAATCCGCCAGCTTGCCTTTCAAAGGAAAGCCCCGAGCACACCGAGAACACTTGAGAGACGCCAAACGCACCTCAGGAGAGTGACCACTATCGCGCAAGCGACATAACCTCACAGCGCAACTGGTCTGCTGTCCGCGCTGCCGCCTGGGAACCCGTTCAGAAGTCTCTCGACCTCCCGAGAAAAGCACCTCACGCTGGGCCGCCAACAACCGCGACAACACATCAAACGCAAGTTTGTCGGCCCGACGGGTTCGGTCAACTAAATCCTCGGGGATCTGGGCCCTGTCAGCAGCAGCATCGGCAAAGAAATCAGCAGCCTGGTTCAAATACACTTCTACATCACTCATAAACATATGTTGGCGTTGGGCCTGGGTCGAATGCGATTTCGTCCATAACACTTGGATAGATCCCCCTCTAGCGAACATAACATCATGATATTGCACCCAAAGATCGAGCATAGAAGACCCACGTGTGTCACATAACGGGCGACGTGACCCTTGAACTACCCGCACATAATCACAGTACACACGACAGTGCCCCGTAGTGCGACGTGCCAGCAATATGAGAGCAAACAATTCCGCACGAGGAGAGGACTGCTTCTTGGTAGGGAGGGTGCCCATGAGGAGGGAGTCGAAGAGGCCAGATGAACCTAAGTGGACGCACGCCCAGCCACAGCGGCGAAGCCGCCAGTCCTTAGTGAACTTCCCACCAGATCCATCTATTCCCCGCACTCCTCCATCGATCACACCTCCTCCGATCAGTCGGCCCCACCCCCACACCTGCGAAACGGGCGGAGGCAAATGGCCGCACGTGAGAGCCTTCGGGACCAAGCCTCGAAACCACAAACACGAAAGCCCAGGCCCCGCTAAAACCCGATCGCGCAAACAATCGGTGCGATCCAAGACCGCATCAGGCACAAGCCGATTGCAGGAGCAGTCCCAAAAGCGATGGAAGGGGGTCTCTGCTGAGGCCCCGCAACGTGTACAGGTTCCACCTGAGCTCGAGCGGTATCCCGCATCGTAAACTCTGGACTCCGTCCAGTAGCCACCAGCGACAAGATTACGTACCATTCCTGCAGCCTCCGCCTCATCATTCCTCTCCTGAAGACGTAGCATACGATACAACACAATAAAATCTACTCCTCCTTCCACCCCTGCACCCATATAATGACCCGCTGCTGCTTGCCACGAGAGCGACTGGCATGCATCAAACAAAAGGTCCCAAAGATGGGCAGGGAAATCTGCATCAGTCACCCGCAATGTAACTGTACCAACACGCCAGCAGACTGGAGAGACAGGATCCCATCGCAAATCAAGTAGCACCGCAAGCGTAGCCGCAATCGGACCTCGCACGACTTGCCAACGGTACTGAGTGCACTCGAATTTAGCCAACACCTGCTTCCACACACGGGCCACACGCATACGTTGTTTATGTTCCATCCTACTCCACGCTGACGCAAAGGCATTGAGTTGTTCGTACCGCAACCTAAACTGGGGGTCATCCTTAGCAGGGCTAACCAAACTCAGAACGGTAGTCGTACAGGACCCAGGACCCCACCAACCAGAACACGTAGCGGCCTGACTCCTCATGCTTTGGACCTGCGGAGGCGAAAGACCCAAAACTTCATGGCCCCAGGATCCAACCGCCAACACCGCAGGTTTATAGAGCTTCCTAGCTCTGCCGACTAAACGAGTCAGACACCTCACTTTCGCAGCTTTCTTATACGCAACGGCACGTCGCTGTCTCAACTTACTCACACAACGTCGACGCCCTGCCGTAGTCATGACCCCCAGGTCGCGCACCGCCTCCCCAACACGAATAGGAAGCTGTGCAGCGCGGAAGCAACCCTCAAGATGTTCTTGCAAAGCCCGATCCGAACACACGAAAGCACTCTTACTGGAAATCGTAGTGCCAGCTTGCTCAAGCTGATGACACAAATGAACTGCGGCTGGCACGATGCGCGAGACAATCTCACTCCAAGAACCCTGCTGCGTCTGGGTAATGTCATCGACGTACGCCAGAGTGACAACAGGAGAATACTGGGCGCGTGCGAAATCCAACAGAGCATACAAGTAGATTTTCACCCAAGGCATCACTGCACACACCCAGGAAGCACCCCACGACCAGTGGGCATCACGTCGGACACGAAGCCGTTGACCTCCAAAATACGCGGGGCCTCATGCATCAAAATACCTAAATACAGCAAATGAACGGGATAAGGCATCTGCAAGGCGAATCCAGCCAGGCGGAGAGGGTCCACCGTATCAAAAAACTTACT